TAATCATAAATGCTTTAAAGAAAATTAAGCAAGTTACGTGGATAGAGTGACCAAGAATGTGGTGGGGGTATTTTAAATAGTGTGTTCAAAGAAAGTTCTCTAAAGATTTGAACAGAGAACTAAATGATGAGGCGCCAGTCATTGAACACTTGGATTAAGTGCATCCCAGGTGGAGGGAACAGCAACAGATTTATACCCAAGGGAAGAAGAAGCTTAGAGTGTTGTTTGAAAGACTGTAAGAAGGCCAGTGTAGTGGGAGTGGAGTTAGTGAGAAATGTAGAACATCAAGTCAGAGATGAGGCAAGCAGTGGTCAGATCTTATAAGGCCAGATCCTAAGTGAAAAGGAAAGCTGTTGGAGGGTTTTAAGCAGAAGACAGAAGTGACTCGATTTACGGTTAAAAAAGATTCCAAGGAAATAGAATCAAGAGCCCAGAAATAAATCAATGCGTATATGGCCAACTAAGATTTGACAATGGAACCAAGAATACTCAATGGGGAAAAGATAGTCTTTTCAATAAATGATGTTGGGAAAACTTGATGTTCATATGGAAAAGGATGAAACTGGACCCCTATCTTACACCACTCACAAAAACTAACTTGAAATTTAAAGACATAAATGTAAGACCTGAAACCATAAAAGTCATAGAAGAAAACATAGGAAAAAATCTCCGTGGCAGTGATTTTTTGGATATGACACCAGAAGCAAAGGCAGTAAATGGAAAAATAAGCATTGGGACTACTTAAAACTAAAAAGCTTCTACACAGCAAAAGAAACAATCAACAGAATGAAGAGGCAACCTACAGAATGGGAAAATTATTTGCAAACCACATGTCTGATAAGAGGTTAATATCCAAAATATATAAAGAACATATGCAACGCAATAGCAAAAAATAAATAAATAATCTGATTTAAAAATGGGCAGAGGACCTGAACATTTTCCCAGAGACATATCAATGGTCAACTGGTACATGAAAAGATGCTCACCATCACTAATCACCAGAGAAATGCAAATCAAAACCACAATGAGCTATCATCTCACACCTGTTAGAATGGCTGTTATCAAAAAAGACAAGAGATAACAAGTGTTGGGGAAGAGGTAGAAAAAAGGAAACCCTAATGCACTGTTGGTGTAAATTGGTACAACCACTATGGAAAACAGTGTGGAGGTTCCTAAAAAATTAAAAATAGAACTACCATATGATCCAGCAGTTCCACTGGATATGTATATGAAGGAAAGGAAATCACTATATTGAAGAGATATGTGCACCCCTATGTTCATTGCAGCATTATTCACAATAGCTAAGACATGGAAACAAGCTAAGTGTCCATTGACAGATGAATGGATAAAAAAATATGATACATATATATCACATTTTATATATATATAAATATGTATACATTTACATATAAATGTAAATTATATATAAATATAAACTATATATAAAAATATGTTTTATATATTATATATGTTTTTCATTATATATATTTTAAATTATATATATTTTACATATATAATGGAATATTATTCAGCCATGAGAAAGAAGGAAATCCTGCATTTGTGACAACATGGATGAACCTTGAGGACATTATGCTAACTAAAATAAGTAGTCAGACAGAAAGAGACAAAAACTGTATAATCTCACTTATAAGTGGAATCTAAAAAATAAAAAAGCCAAACTCATGGAATAGAGAGGAGAACGGTGTTTGCCAAGGGCAGAAGGGTGGGGGAAATGAGGAAATGTTGGTCAAAGCACACAAACTTCCAGTTATAGGATGAATAAGTTCTGGGGGTCTAATATACAGCATGGTGACTATAGTTAACAATATTGTATTATATACTTGAAAGTTGCTAAGAAAGTAGATCTTAAATGTTCTTACTACACACACACACACACACACACACACACAACTGTAATTGTGTGATGTGATGGATGTGTTAACCTTATTGTGGTAATCATTTAGCGATATATACATGCATCAAATTTTTATCATGCTTTACACCTTAAACTTACACAATGTTATGTGTCAACTATTTCTCAATAAATATTGCTGGAAAAAACTGATAATTCTGGCTGCCATGTAGAATCCAGACTTTAGGGAGAAAGTAGAAGCATGGAGAAAGTTAACAGGCAATTGGGAGACTTGCTGGTATCTTGGACTTGAGAGGTTATGGGGGAAGAGATAAGAATGACCATATTGAGGATAGATTTAGAAGGTAAAATTATGTTCCTTCCCGTGCCGAGATTCTCCTTTTAGGGATAAAATTTGGAGGTTCTGTGTTTTATTTTTAGAAGGGATATCGTTCCCTTTTATAAGCTCATTTTAAATGTCTTTTATAAATAACGGCAAACTTTTGAAATAACATAAAAGAAGGTTGGTTTCTTTTAAATGTCTTAGATTCATGTTACTAAAAGAAGATAAATTTTTATTTGAGACTTAATGCAGTCCATTTGTGCCTATTAAAGTTTCTGACTGGAATCCTGTAGCCTAGACAGTGAAGAAGAAAGTCTTTTCAATAAATGATACTGGAAAAACTAGATATTCAAATGCAAAAGAATGAAATCGGACCCCTATCTTACACTACTTACAAAACTTACATAGAACCTTCCATCAATACTCTGCTTTACGTCTTTCCTGCTTTTCTATTGACTCCCCTTTTGGACTCTCTTCCATCTTTTTTCCCCCAGGCATACAGTTATCCAAGCCAGCTATAATGATGTGAAAGATGAACACACAGTTTGTACTTAGGAATGGGCTGTGATGGTCCAAGCTTTACCAAAAGATGGCTGCATGATACAGAGCACCCCATTTATCTCTCTGAGAATTGGTTTTCTAATTATGAAAATGAAGAGGTTGGATTAGATAATCCTAAAATTCTTTCCAGTTCCAAGATTTTAAGATTGCCCCTCTTCTGATTTTCACACATGATCAACATAATCCATTACTTGCTTTAATTAATTACACAATGTTATATGTCAGCCATTTTTGTGCTGATGACTCCCAAATCTATATCTCAAGTTCAAGACTCTCTCATGAGGTTCTTTCTCATATAGCAAATGGCTTCCTGAACATCTCTACCTGGATATTGCATAGGCACCTCAAACACCCTATGTCCAACATGGCTCATTAACTTTCTCCAGTAACTTGCTCCTTTTTCTGTGTACTTTCCTCACATTGTCTAGATCTCTCTCTCTCTCTATCTGAGTCTACTACTCCACCTTTCTTGCAAATAACCACTACTTACTTATCCACTTATCTGAGTCTACAAAACTCAACTCAAGAGTCACCTTCTTAATGTGAAATTTTTCCAAACCTACTTCCTCTGCAGATGGAATTTTCTGCTGTCTTCTATGGTATCCTAATTAGACTGATATCAGAGCACCCACATGAGCTTATTTTACCTGTTTATTTACATGTTTACATTTTGAACTCCTTGAGGGCAGGGATAGTTTCTCATTTCCTTGTGATTCTATCCTCAGCCTAGAATGTATCACATAGTTGGTGATTAACAAATACTGAATTAATAAGTGAAAATGAAACTTCTATGATCTGAGGATTGCTCACGTCATTATCTTACCCGCCGTTTGTCCTCCCACTAAGAGTTTCTTTATACGTGGAGAAGCCATTGGCTCTCTTGCCCAATTTCACCTGCTCACCAGCTTATGAAGACTCATATAAATGCCAACCTTCATTTGTTTGCACACATCCTTCTGCTGTTGGAATTCAGTGTCCTTTTCCTGTATATTCTGTCTTGCAAAGTGCAAAGACCACATTTTCTTTCTTTCTATCTTCCCTGAGGTTGAGATTAGAATAATGACACCTAGCCATCTTTTAATAGATCTTCATTCCTTGAATCCCACATTTGACTTAGCTGTCTCTTGGTAAACAACTGAAATTTTCTTCAACACAGACATTTATATATAAACCAGTTTCATCAGGAGCAACTAACAAATGCACTTCCAGCTCCTCAAAATGTTAATGAAATTTAGACCTGATACTTAGCTCTCATTCAGTAAGTATACTTGGGTAAATAAGCTGTCAGATTTGAGTGGCTGAATTTTTCCCAGCATCATCTTAAAACACCTCTTACTCCCTGGTCAGGCTGGAAGAAATTAACTAAGGTGATTTATTTTAGTAGGGTCAAGAAACCATCTGTGACATGTAAAAATGGTAGAATCAGCTTTCCTTCCCATTATGTTTTTTAAACTTACTGGTGTGTGAGTAGTTAACATGGAAGTCACATACAAATTGGAGAGAAGTTTGCCTTTTAAGAGAAGTTTCTTTCTCTGAGGTCCTTTGCTATCACATATCCTTTAAGGCTTCTCTGAGGTAACCAACTTTCTCAGGTCTGCCCTTTCCTTCTTTCCTCAAGTGGGTAGTACTTTGTCACTCCCACAGCCATGCTCTGCCCCCTCCCATTCTTCCTGACATCTCTTGATAGAGTCAAGAATAGCCCTTTATCAGTTAATTTTTCTTTGAAAAGATCACTGATATTGTAGACTAGCCCAGCAGGCAGGATTGAACATGATGCAGAACCTAGTTCAAAACAAACATCAATACTGATAATAATTATTATTACTCTTTATTAAGCACTTTATTAAGTGTTAGTTATAATTACAAAATTAATGCATTCAATTCTCAAAACAACCCTGCAATTTAAGCATCCCATACCAGTCTTTTTTAGATGAGGAAGAGAAGGATTGGAGAGATCACTCAACCAGTAGATGGCCAAGTTAAAATGCGAACTTGGGTCTGCACATTTTCCGTTTCACGGGTGCTTCTAAGTAAATGCAAATGCAATTGTCCATGTCTTAATGAGAAGGGCTCTTGAGGAGAGGTGCTTAAGACAAATGGTGACCTGTTCAGCAGGAATGCAGCCCCTCTTCCTATTGTCACTTAGTTGGAAGAAGATTCAGATGGCTGAAATGTTGAAACTGTGCACATAATGAATTGAGCAGAGTTTTGACAGACTCACATGGATGTTTCTTTGCCTTCTAGGAAGATTTCCAACCCGCAGCAGCCTCAGAGACCAACTGGGAGTCAGTCACAAGCTCTATCTCGGTAAGTAATTAATTTTCCTGTTGCCAGTGGAAAAGCTGATGGAGTAGGTAAGGTCAACCCCAGACTGACTTCAGCTGCATTAAGGACCTACGCCTTGACAAAAGCCAGATCTCAAGCGTGATGTGTTCTTCCATTTCATTCAGGTTACAGTGGACTATGTCAGATGCCCTTTTTTCCTCTCTTTCAAAGGTTTCCAGGAAATGCCAGTACACATTGTAAGGACAAGGGATAGACAATGACTTAAGTATTTATCAGGTTTAAAGCAGAACATTCCAACAAAAGGACTGTCTAGACATATCAAACATATCAAACTGGTCCATGGCCCACACTCAAGTGGGAAATTTTGAAATAATTTTTTTGAATATTCCAGGGGAAGTTATTAACCTTTGCATTTTCAGGGATATTTTCAGACGTGAAAAATCCCAGTGTTTACAGTAAGATAACTTAAGTGCAAACCAGGCATGTGTTCTATTTGACTTGGAAATAAAACATAACTCACCCTGAAACTATAAAATGTCATGCCCCCATTTTTTTCTCCAAATTTAGTCATTTCTCAGTATTCTATCGACTTATCTACTTTGTACAGAAAGAAAGACCTTGTTTTTACCAATGCTATGAGTAGCACTTATATAGCAATAAAATCCAAGATAATAAATGCAGTTCTTCATTAAAAGTTGTTCAAGAGCATGGAGAAAGCTTGTCCATGGTTCTAAAGTGGCTCGATGTGGCTGAGTCAGAGTTGATTTTTTTTTTCCCCAAACATGATATGCTATCTTTTGCTCTCTGGGGGATTTTTTTTTAATTCCCTCATATGGCAGGATTTCCTCATCTATGGATTCTGTGACTATTTAATTTGCTTGATGTGGTTGCTGGACTAGAACAATATGATCTGATCAAGAGATCAGTGAGGCCTCTAATGGTGATATTAGGAGTGTTTTATTTGTTTTTGACAGTCCAGAATGCATACTCTGAACCTAGCTAAGTGTAGGCAATCATTGTCAGGCAGGTGAAAATTAAAATAAGGCAGATGATGCTGCAGAGCTGTGAGGCTAAGCAAGAGGCTTACAATTAGCAGCCTGAGACTGACAATTCAAGGTAAATGCCAGCTGCAACCAGGACCTAGTGTGCTATTCTGTCAAGAGATCCTCTGGCTTCTCAAGTATCTTATACATGATTGCTCAGAGTTGTCTAATCATTCCTGACTCAAGTGTACAAATTACAAGCTTAAAGGATCCTTAGCTAATTCAGGATAATCCAGGTCCTCCTAAGGAGAAGGACTGCCCTGTCCATTTGGAGTATCTGCAGGAGCTCAGCACTGGGTCCATATCCACTGGAAACTCTTCTGGATTGAGTTCCAAGTCTAGGTTCTGCTTAGTCCTGTAGGAAAACCAGGGAGACCTAGCTTCTTTCCTCAGCATTCTGTTTTTCAAGAACCTGAAGTAGGAGCGAGGGCCCTCGGACCTACCGTTAACTTCTGTATAAACCATACTTTGTTTTTATTGAAAGCAGTGTACGGTTTTCAGAGCATTTTTTACAAATAGTTATCATTTTAAAGTAATGCGGTTAGCTTTAGAATTGATTTATATAAATGTATAAGAAAAGCTGAATGAGATCAATTTTATAGTGCAGTTGAAAGAGGCATGCCCAATTAGTTCTTTCTCTCAAAAATAATTTTTAAATAATTATCTCAGAAACAAAAATGTTCTCGTGGATTTATTAAGTCGCCTAGGCACTCATAAATATTTTCTTAATCGTCAGTGGTGTCTGTCAACTGCCCTGAGTCAGAACTTGAAAAGAGCAGTAAAGCTCATATATAGGGACAGTTTTACATTTTAGCTACGGTTTGGATTTGCTCTTCACACTAATGTGAGAAGAGATTAGATTTCCCACTCCCCCTCAGGGACTCAGATCCCTTCCACAGCTTTCTCTTAAAGAGATAGATATCTGGGTCTACACTACAATCTAGGCACTATTAAGAGCAACCCCAGGAAACTCCTTGCAAGGAGTTCCCCAGAGCCGTTGTAAGAAACTTTCGCTCGTGTGGGAATGGCTGGATTGACGTCTCTGCTTCTGTTTCGAAAAAGAGGAAAGCATTTTAATTTCAAAGTTATTATATGCTGCCATGTACCTAACTGGCCAGCTCATTTTGATTTTTTGGATCTTAGACCCACGTTATTGTGACACCAGGCTAATTGTAAATCATCTGGTGAATATGAGCCAAGTAGACGGTAGGTTATCTAGACAATACAAAGTTGAATGGGAACTTGGAATTTTGATTCTGAATCATAATATTATCCACCTCTAGCATTTGATGCCAACAGGGATGTGAAAGACAGAAATGATGTGCTTCAGTCAGGGTGCAGCTTATGTCAGCTACACACACACACACACACACACAAACACACACACTCACACACACACACACCCTTAGATGATAGAGCTGGCCTGACACCTTCACCAGTCTATCTCATGTCTTCCACTCTACTCTCCAAATGCCATCTTCCCCCCACTACCCTTCCCCTACAGCACATATCTGAAAACTGCTCCTGAACAATACCAATGGTAGGTTAATGCTTTTACACACTTAGTGTTGCTAAAAAGGGACCATTTCTGGGAGAGCAAGTGATCATAGAATCACTTACGGACGTTTGGACCTTGATTGGTTAAAAAAAGAAAACAGTACCTGAGAGTGAGAATATAAATGTGGGCTTTGCTGTCTGCTACTCTATAGCGTATATTATTTGTCAAGAGGATACCACAGTTAAGTTTCAGGAATGCAAGTTTTCGTTAATTTCCATTTTCCCATAGTGACAGGAGATATTTGCCCTTGGGCCATCTTATTTGTTTGGCAGTCTCTTTAAAGACATTTAGAAATCATTTGAGACTGTGTGCTCTCTATTTCCTTGTTAATGGGTCATGAATTTTGACAGAGTTGTTTGAATCATGGCTCATTTAACTCTAGATTGTACACGAGTTAGTGAAGTAAGTGCTTAGAAATTTATGTGGGAATGTACTCCATGGCAAAATACATAATCCCTTCCAGACTTTCAGTGACATTGTGTTCCCCATTTAAAGAGTATTCCTGAGAATGTTTTAATGGCAACTGGGATCACTAGCAAGCTACAGCACTTTTTTTTTTTTTTTTTTAAAGTGCTTCCCATGTGAATCTTCTACTCTTAAGTCAAGAGAGCCAGTTTCATGGCTAATTAATCTTTTTGACAGTAAATAAGCTGGTTAAAGTGCCAAATTTTATCAAAATCTCTCCAGAGTAGATTCAAACATTGCTCACACAACACCTGCAATGCTAGGTGACCTGTAAAGAGGGGACATGGAGGCTAAACATGGGAGAGGGAAATGGATTATGCAAAACTTGCATGGAAGGAGTTCAGAATTGAAATGCTCACCATTAGTTGTTGGTATAGATATGGATGATTTGAGACCTTGAACCACGAAATTGGATGACTTAATTTTAATATTTCCCTCTAGCCTATGTCTTTTTCAATGGTTACAATTGAGGTGAAGTGGAAATTTTATGATCTGCGTGGTTTTGATTTGCAAAAAAGTGAATGACTATCATTTACCAATTAATTGCTCTTATTTAGGAAGATGGCAAGACTATGGCAGAGTACTTTAGCGTGATATTTATGCATACGATGTCTTATAATCAGAAGCCTGTTTATATTCCTGCCATATAATTGTATTTCATAGCCATGGACTTTTTCTGAGTACACTGAGCTGTGTGTCACTATCTTAGGGGGTATCCTATCACTCTCCATCAGTAACGGATCCCACTCTCACCGCGGATGCTCTGGACAAAACAGTGGCAGAATTTGATACTGTGGAAGATCTGCTCAAGCACTTCAATCCCGAATCATGGCAAGAAGATCTTGAGAATCTGTATTTGGACACTCCTCATTATCGAGGCAGGTCATACCATGACAGGAAGTCAAAAGGTAAGAAATAGAGCCTTGGAGGTTCTTCATAAGCAGATAGGAGTATTAATAGTTATAATAAGTAAGAATTAGCAATGCAATATGTTTAAGTTATTTAAATCAAATGATTACGTTCAACCCCTTATCACATATCTTTTTCACAGCACCTTCAAATGAAGTTCTTGCATTTTGCCCAAACTGTGTTGCCCAAACTAAGAAAGGTTTGATTCAGTCAAAGATCTGTTATAGTTTGGAGCTAGAAAAGACCTTATAAAATCTGCACCAGCTTTGTGCTTCTTGGCATGTAACGCATTATTAGCCCCACTCAATGGAGGCAGCCAAAATCAGGGGAGGTAAATAATTTGCCAACGGCTGCATGGTAGATAGCAGTGGAGAGGAAATGAGAATCATAGTCTTTTGCCTCCAATGGCAGTGCTGTGTAATAATCTACTGTGCCTCTCCGATATGAATGTTAATTTAGCCAGGACTCAGTCAGTATTGACAGGAGACGTTACTGGTAAAGCAATGGTCAAAACTCTTTGGAAGATTTTGATTCTATTCATTCAATGTCCATTCTACAAATTTTTTATGAGGACCTACTAAGTACTTGGTGCCCTGAGTGGTTCATAGTATGTAAATGTCCCAAAGAAGAAGCAAAGAAGTTTGGGATAGTTTGGAGGTGTGTGAGGGCACACATTCAATTGGAAGGTTCCAGAAAGTATAATGAGGGAAGAAGAGAGGAACATTTAGGCAGAGAAAACATCATGAATTAAAACAATACTACTTAAACTCTTAAAAAATAAATATCCTAGTCTTACATTGGAGTGATATGATCTTAGGGTGAGAATGTTTATTTGAATGTCTAACTCAAATTAATAGAGAAATAACTTATAATTACCTCTAGTCAATAAAACTATAATTTCTAGTCTGTTGTGTCCTCTCTTTATTTGGTAAGATTTGTTATCATTAAAATTTTCTCCAGGGCCGGCCCCGTGGCTTAGCGGTTAGGTGCGCGTGCTCCACTGCTGGCGGCCCGGGTTCGGATCCCGGGCGTGCACTGAGGCACTGCTTCTCCGGCCATGCTGAGGCCGTGTCCCGCATACAGCAACTAGAAGGATGTGCAGCTATGACATACAACTATCTACTGGGGCTTTGGGGGAAAAAATAAACAAATAAATAAAATTATAAAATTTTCTCTAAAAGTCTTGTAGGGCTAGCTTGCATCATAGATGTGAAGGTATTTAGCTAAAATACAGCTTGATTCCTATACTTTGTAATATCAGGGATACTTTTAAGAACTGTGAACCTGGGCTGCTTAATAGATGATGTTTGTGTCAGTAAGCACAACCTATTACTACATTTGGGCCAAAATGACTAATTAGTTAACGAATGCCTGCATCTACTGCTTAAGGCTTAGGTCATAATCTTGTATACTTAAAACGCACAGCTAAGGGGAGACAAGGAAGTCCGTAGTGGCCCTGATGTTATGGGGATATGCCGTATGGAGATCACTGTAACTTTCAGACTGAATCTCCGCAGGGCTCAGATTGGATTCAACTCAAAGAAGAAATTGCTTTTCTGTAAGGCGTTGCTATCTTTGGATCTCTACTAAGTCAACTTGAAGGAAAGTAAAATATTCACCATGTTTTGAAAATGCCAGAAAAAATATTAAAAATGGTATTGGACAAAGAAATGATAAATCTAACTCTGTCTTCAAGTATCTTAACCACTACAGCTATTCAAGGAGCAGCCTTTCTTGGCGCCTATTTTTTTGGAAATATTAAATTTTGAAAATCACCTAAGTTCATTACTTTTTCCCCCCACAAATTATGTTGAGTTGGAAGCAGGATGTCTGGGTTCAAATCCTAACCCTGCCACTTATGAGTTTTGTGATTTTTTTAGCAAGTCATTGATCCTTCTTGAGCCTCAGTTTCCTCGTTGGCAATGTGTGTGTGATAACACATACTTCCGGGAATTGTTAGTGGTGCCGTCAAAAGCACCTGGCATGTAGTACTTGTTCAAGAAACATTAGCTGGTTGTAGCTACCTAGAATTCTGAAATATGTTTGCATCACTTCCTTGGTGAAGCCTTCTTTGTCCCTTTCCTTTCCCTGTGAAGCCCACCACTCCAGACAAAGTTCGGAGTACTTGGGACAGCATTTATATTTCCTACTACTGCATCGTTATTGTGTCTTTGTTTTCTCTGAGGGAATATGAGATCCTAGGATCTAAGGGTCTCAATTCTGGCTGAACATTAAATCACCTTGGGAGCTTTAAAAAACTACAGATGCCTAGTCCTATCCCAGACACACTGACTCAGAATCGATGAGGCTGAGGCTGGGGTATTGATGTTATTTTATGGCTCCTAGGAGTTTGAGATCCATCCGTGGAGGCAGCATGGGTGGAGAGCCACTGTTTTAGAAATTATTCATCCAGTATCTTCAGCACTTGGCACACTCTCTGACACATTTTAGATGCTCAATTAATGTTTGTGGAATTCAAGATGTTAACAATTCAGCATTTGTATACTTCTAAAGTTTACAGAAACCCACCTCACAGACTAAGGAGTGTCGCTTTATTAAGAATGCCTTTGGTTACTGAAATAACCTTGCAGGAGCATTCAAGGCAACATTCTACTTATTTCTGACAGAGTAAACATTTCTCTCCCCTTTTGGCTTAGGTTCCATTTCTTAATCTCTTGTTTAAAATGGTCCTAAGGCAGATCTGTACCATTTCATTTAACACTGGCAAGTCACCATTGTCTCCGCACTTGTATAAATGTGCTGATTTAATTGTTTATCATTCCACTGATGCTGAACCACCTGCATGTATCAGAAAAGCAAAGGAAGTCAGGTTTAATATTTCAGCTGTTATTTTCAGCTTTTAGAACTTAAACATACAAATTCATGGTTTGTATTGTGATGTATAAGAAAGGGAGCAGTGAAGAAAGACTGAAAACTGAAAAATAGTTATAGATAATGGAGGTCCATTAGGTGTCAAATAAAACGTGAATTTTATAGGATCCCTAAAAAGTTTCCTATTATCAGTATGTATAATAATTTTTAATGATGTTGTGCAGAGACAAACATCATTTATGAATATCTATTGAACATCCATTCTTCTGGCTAGCCCAGCCTGATCAAAAGAGGCATTTTTTTTTTTTTGATACCAAAGAGTGAGATTCTGAGATGACCCTGAATGTGAATATACAAAACACAGAGTTTTATAAACTTAAAATAAAACACAAACATACTGGGTGAAGAACTTGTGTAATGAAGTAGGTATAATTAACATTTAAAATTAAATTTTCTGCTTTGCTTCTACTCTTTATTTGAAGGGAGATTGGTGACAGTGAGTTTTTAGTTCTGTTTAAGAAAAGAGTTGAAAATGGGAAGCAAGAGAACAGTAGAAGTTTGGGGAGAAGAGGGAGAGAAAGGAGACAGATAACATTGCCAAGTACTGAAGCCAGAACTTCAGCGCATAAGGTCTGCTTTTTAAAAATTCACAAGTAATAGATAAGCTCAAACTTGTCTGTGAAAGCTTCTGGACTGAAGATAGTATAACAAGTTAATATATCCAACTTTCAGTTTCCTATGGGGTAATGGAGAAAAGGGTAGCATGGATAATTGAAAGTGGTAGATAACTGTAGTTCTAAAACCCAATTTTGCCAATAATTTCAACCTCATGCTTTCAACCTCAAAGCTGCCCAAAAGTTAAAAAAAAAAAAAGTTGTTTCAAGTTCAAGTTGCATTTACTTCTGAAGAACATGCTAAAGATATAGCAAATTTGCACATAATTATGGAAAAATTGTATGGATGTTCTACAAGATGTATAATTACCTTCTGAATCATTGCATGGAGACTACAGTTTAACTGAAACTATACTATGATTCCTTTAAAACACATACCTTTGAACTTAGGGGCAGTGTATATTTATTCAAGTTCATAGCATGAAATTTGACATCTCTAAATTAAGAAATGATTGGTCTTAAGCTCAACTAGACTGGGCACTAATTGAGAGATGATTTACAGTGATTAACAATGTGAGATCTTTTCTTTTACTTATTCCAGGAGAACTTGACTTTCCAGAATGGTAGTGTGTTTAGCATAGAAAAATCCAACGCCTTATAGCAAAGGGGAGGCCTGTTTTCATAGTTTGTGTTGTGATAAAAATATGGATATAGTTGTCAGGGCATTCCAAATTAATAGTTTTGAACTACAATTATGCTTAATAAAATTACATCCTTCCCCAAAGAGTTGCCATTTTTTGATGCCCATGCCAAAATTGACATGCACCCTTCTTTTAAAAAATCAGGGGCAGGCCGGTGGTGTAGTGGTTAAGTTCACGTGCTCTGCTTCCGTGACCCAGGGTTTGCGGGTTTGGATCCCACGTGTGGACCTACACACTGCTTATCAAGCCATGCTGTGGCAGCGTCCCATATACAAAATAAAGGAAGATGGGCACAGATGTTAGCTCAGGGCCAATCTTCCTCACAAAAAAATAAAAGAATCAGTATTTTAATATTGAGTGCAGCAAATATATTGATATTAAATTGATTCCAAATGACCAGGTTTGAAATATATGATTTTTATAGACTCTCAGTGGTTAGATATTGTAACTCTGAGACAGTTACCAACCCATTTCCGAGGCTCTAATACCAATTACGTGATTTCCTTACATGACATTATTTTTTATAGGATCTAAAACACTTAACTGTTTAATTTGAGAACTATTTATAAATAAATAACTGGTATAAAAAATAAGGATTAAACGAAATAAATATGTTTTATATCAAAATGTTTGAATTGGTTCTAAATTCTCTTAGGTCAGAATACCTTTTATTTTTAAATTAGTCATTTATAGCTGTTTCTTTGTCATACCTCTGCATGCTGACAAAGAAGATACAAGTTTCACTCTTTCAAAAGTGATTTAGAGGGGCTGGCCTCATGGCATAGTGGTTGGGTTCGGCACGCTCCGCTTCAGTGGCCCAGATTCACGGGTTCAGATCCTGGGCATGGACCT